CTAGATCTCCATGGTAACTGATGCTGAGGAGCTAGATCTCCATCTCCAAACCACTGAATGAAGCCTCAAACACTGGATGCATTGCGTTGCCATGGAAACCTACATCAATTCAGCTGATGATGCAGAAATACGTTTTTGTGTTTGGTCCATTTACACTGCTTGTGATTAGAACATTGATTATCTATTGGTTTTTATTACAGCAAATATTTAATCAATATCATGAATTCACGTTGATTTGGCCACAAACTAAAGTGAGTCGGACCCAAATGACCTTCAATACAAGATCAGGTTTAAATATATGAAGCTTAACAGGTTTAATGTGCAGCTGATCAGTGATCAATAATCGGCTGCATTGTGATCAATGACATACGCCTGATTAACGGTTCTCTACCAGCGTTCTTTCTTGCATCATTCACAGCAGTTAACTGAAGTGCAGAAGAGTCACATGACGCGTTAAACTCCTCCTTCTCCGTGAAGCAGGAAGTCTGAGTCGACACAGGAAATTAAAAATCGCCTTCAGACGTCGTAGTTCAGCGACAGCCCACAGCTGGAGGTGTTGGACAGGATCCAGCTGTTACACCGCTCGTCGGTGCTTTTATTAAACGACTTGTACGGGAAAGAATCACGTCTCAGCAGGATCTGAGATGTTCTTTGTCTTTTTAGGGAACGGAAACGTGTCCGTCTGCAGTCTGATCTGATGGTCGTCGTCTCCAGAGGACGAATCCTAACGAGTGACTGTTCATCACAGGAGGTCTACAGATGTCACCAAAATCAACAGAACTGTGCTGATCCAGTTTGTTTTTTTCTTGTTCAACACAGCGTCTTTCAATAAGAGCCGATGAGGACCGTCGTCACATCGACTGTGTCATCAGTTTGTGTGTCTTTGTGGTTGTTTTGTTCACTTTTGTGTACCTGCTCTACGGTCTGATTGTCTCCGTTTAATGAGTAAATTCATCATGTTTTACTGTGAACACTTGTTTTAATCTGTTCCATCGTGGAGCGACACCGTCTCAGATTCTGTTGAGAGTTTTTTGATTTTCTTTAAGTTCTGCGCCGTCGTAGAGCTTCGATATCTCCAGAACATCAGTTTCCAGCGGATACAAACGACCGAATGGATCCAGCAGAGGACACATTTTAGTTACTGGCACTTAAAAATGTGCAAAATTCTCCAACGAGGGTTTTACTGAAGATCCAGAAAGTTCCTGTCAGTGTCTGTCTGTGGATGGATCCATGGTTCTACTAGAACCCAGTCTCTGGTCACATCTCACCAGCTGTTGAGGCTCTAACATCAGCAGAACCTGATGTGGTGAAGATGGACCAGACAAGGTTCCAGGTTGTTGTTGTTTAGACTAAATGTTGATGCGGATCATTGGTAGGAACCAGAACCTGGAGTTCAGCGGTTCTAGATGTTGTGAAGTTTCAAGCTGCTGAATGTTCCGACACCAGAACTGAGCAATAAACAGATGATAATTCAGTCCTTTTACAGCTTTTGTTCCCAAAGACGTAAACTCAGAACAGAACCTGGTTCAGCAGCATGTGTCCCGGATTCTGTCTGATTTGATACATGGAAGCAACACCAGACTGATTAATACCAACCTGCTGCTCTGATTGTTTGATTGTGTGATGCCCCCTGAAGCTGTGATCTTGTATTTTGAGCTCTTTTTTTTTGTTTATGGTGGATTTTGATTTTATTGGTGAGTTGGAATATCTCAGTAACTACTGGATGGATCAGGACGTACATTTATTGTGTCTGTTGTGATGAAATTTTGCACATTTATCAGAACTTTCTGGATCCACAATACCAACGTCATTTGACTGTTGTGCGTTTTTATCCAGTTTTTCAAGGCCCAGTAATTGTTAGTTATTGTCATTTTGGACAGTTTGGGAGTAATTGTCAAATTTCAGGTTATTTGGGACACACTTTGGGTCATTCAGATTTTTTTTTTTCCTGTTTTCAAAGTCCAGTATTTCTTTAACAGTGTCATTCCATTTGGGACCATTTTGGACCATTTTGGACCATTTGTCAGACAGTCTGGACGGATGTTAGGTTGTTTTGGAGTGTTTAGTCCTTCTGACTGACTTTCAAGGTGTTTCACGTCAGAAACACGACGCGCTGGAACCTCGTCTCGCTGCTTCCATTCAGCAGGACGAGCAGCAGAGTCGGAGGTCGGCGGATGTTTCACCTCCAGACGAACGTCGAGCTGATTAATGATTTGTGATTCGAGCGGATCCTCGCGTTAACCATGAACGAGGCGCAGAGAGCTGAGGTCGACAACACTTTAATCCAGACAGAGAACCACAGAAATACACCAACAAAGTGAGGTCTGATGTCAGCGACTGACATCGTCAAGCAAACATGGAGGCAGCACAGATTTTACATGTAGGTGCACATTAAGAATCCTGAATGAAAGCAGCCTTTAAAATGGGTGTAATTGTCCTTTAAACCTCTTTAGTTTCACCTGGAGAGAAGCCGATTCTCTCAGAAACATATTTTCTTTGACAGTGGAGCGCTGGAAACAAACAAACAAACAAACAAACAAACAAACAAGGGCTGTCAGCTGTCAAACTTTCTCTGATTTATAAGCTAATAAAGTGAAAATCTTTTCACTTTGAACAGATCGACGAGGAACCACATTGTTGAGAAGGAAGCCAGAAAACCCACTGGCAGGTTCAAGAAACACGCTATCTTGTTTTGTTTTGTTTTTTTAAATCACAAAAATTACACCATTTATCTGCCAGAAGCTGTAGAACAGAATCATTTGTTCCTCAGTTTTCCACCGTTGATTAAACGACTCGTCTGTGATGTTCCATCAGAAAAATATCAAAATCACGTTTCTTTTTTTTAAACATGCCTCATTTTTAAAAATTGTCAAAATAAACTCAGAGATTCTGTCAAATACTAAACGTTGTGCACATTGATGAAGCCACGACGAACAGTCATGCAACAAACATTCAGAGTTTTCAGGCTGTTTGGGATCAAATGACAAATCTAAGTCATAACATTAAAAACAAAAAAACATTTCTTGTGGCCACTTGGGAAAATGTACATTTTGATTCCTTTTTTTAATTATTAACTTTTTTCGTTTTTCTGATTTGTGTTTCTGCACAGAAGACATCTGAGTTCTCTCTCCTCCTTCATATTGTTCTGTTTCCACGGAGCTGCAGGACTTTAAAATAACAAAACATCTAGAAACTGCTGTTAAGCCTGCAGTCTTTCCAGCAGCCAGCAGGGGGCGACTCCTCCGGTTATAAAGGGAGGTCTGAATATATGGAAAATTAGCCGACATCTGACTGGATTTGTTCCCTTCGTAAACATGTTTCTGATGAATTTATGCTCTCAGTCAATCGTTTCAAATCTCCGTCAACACAGCTTGATGTTCATTAAGGAAATCGTTCTTCCATTTACAGGAATATTGACGAAGCATCGTATGGTCACTTCTCGCACCAGAAACCAAGATGGCGGCGACCAATTCCAAACTTGAGTAATCCACTAATGTCCGTCTTTTACATACAGTCTATGATGAAAACGTGCATTAATTCGATTTTTCTTTTGCTACATGTTGGAAAATGGTAGAACCTTTGCCTGTAGGAATATCCAGTGCTACTGAGCAGCGCCCCGTTTGTCCGCTGGACTGCTGTCAGGTGACCCGACAGCAGTCTGGTGGTCAAACACAACTGTTCACTTGTTGTTCTAAAAAACCAAGATGGCAGTGACCAACTCCAAACTCAAGTAATCCACTGACGTCCACCTTTTATATGCAGTCTATGATGGAAATGTGCATTAACACCTTTGCTTTTTGACCATCGGACTGTCGTCTGGTGCGTCAGGTTGTTTTGAGTTGTTTACAAAGAGAAGTTTCTAGAAGATGACCCTTGAAGACTTGGACTCGATCTCCACGTGCACCTCCCTCTCGACCTTCTCGGGTGCCTCCTGGTCATCTTCGCCGACGCCCTCCTTCTTCAGGATCTTCAGTGGCCACCAGAGGGAGCCGCTGCGTCGGTCCCGGCGGACACTGCGTCCCGCCGGCCAGCAGCAGGGGGCGCCTTTATCCCCCGTCAGGAAGTAGAGGAGGGCGTTGAGCCAGGCGTTGCAGGAGGCGAGCGGCCTGGTGACCTTGTAACAGATGGAGACAGCCTTCATGGCGTTGCAGCCGCCCAGCTGCCCTCGTCGCAGCAGCAGGAAGAGCGTCCGGGTCACATGGAAGGGCAGGAAGCAGAGCGCAAACAGCAGCGTGATGGTCACGATGGTCTTGATGGATTTCCGCCGCCGCCGGATGTAGTGCGAGTACTGCGAGCCGGAGATGGACACCGAGGTTCGCTCCCGCTCTCGGGCTCCCTCGGCCGCCCCGTCGCCCACCGGCCCGTCCTCGCCGCCCTCCACGGAGCTGGGAGGCGAGCGTAGCGTCTGAAATATGGTCCGGACCACCTGAGAGTAGCACCAGGCGATGATGACGAAGGGCACGAAGAAGCCCAGCAGGTGGAGGACGATGCCGTACGGGACGTAGTCGGCGAACTCCTTATCGATGGCGTCATCCCAGCAGTTCATGTAGCCCTCGCCATCCTGATCTCCGGTTTGGTTCCCGCCGTCCTTCGCCCCTCCAGGACCAGCCACCGCCCCGCCGCCGCCTCGCATCACCAAACCCGTCTGGGCGAACCTGAAGATGGGGCAGGTGAGGATGAAGACCACCACCCAGACCAGCGCACAGGTGCCCTTCACCACCCGCTTACTCTCCAGAGTGATGGTCCTCATCGGGTGGCAGATGCCCAGATACCTGCAGACACAACGACGTAAGCTCAGCCTTTAAAAAGGCCAGAAACTGACTTCATACCAGCAACTTTCTCTAATAACGTTGGGTTTTTAAGATTCAACTCTTTTCCTCCAATTGAAATGCTCCAAACATAATTATGTGATGATTTTGTAAACTATAAAGCGGCACCTTGTAGGATTACCAAACGTCAAGATCAGAGTTTCTAATAATAAAGTTCCTTTTTCTGGAGATATAAGAGGAAGTATTTCAACAGAAAAAAGAAGCGAATCAAGGTTAGACAAGAAATAATGGACTTAAACAAACAGAAGCTTAACATTAAACGGAGACTGAAAACCTTCCTCACATCAACACATGAAACATACAGTTTAAACGTCTTTCCTTCAGATTCTAATATTCTCTTTGGGTCCAGACAAACAGATAAGCTGATGGAGTAAGAAGTAATCATCGATTTATAATCATAATATTGCGATCCAGATCTTATAACTATGACTACTGCCGAGTTTGTTATAACTGACAGCTACAGGATGATGCTTCACTTCCAGCTGGAGGTGAAACCACTGAACCGACTGTCGGCAGGGCGTCAGACTCTTTTCTACACATTTCAGCAGCGTCGCTCTGCATGTGGTTCAAGTCAAAGTTCAAACAGCAAAGTAAAGGAGCCGTCAAAAATTAACATTACCGGGAAAAATATACGAGCAGCAGCTTCCTGTCGGTTGATTTGGTGAAAACATACGAGCTTGAAAGTAAAGGACGAGTTTCTGAAGCCAAAGCTGCTAAATCTCAGTTTGCTAAACGTCTCCCACGACAGAGACTGTAACCGGAAAGGAAAAATGTTTGAATTCGTTGGGCTGCCGTGTTTCCGCGGCGACCTACCTGTGCACGGAGATGCAGGTGAGGAAGAAGATGGAGCAGTAGAGGTTGAAGTAGAAGAGGAAGCGAACGAGGCGGCACATGAAGTCTCCGAACACCCAGCGATCCCTGAGCACGTAGCTCGCCACCAGGAAGGGCAGCGACAGGCCGTACATCAGGTCGGTGGTGGCCAGGTTCACCATGTAGATCAGCGACGTGTTCCAGCGCCGCCCGCCGACGCCGCTGCAGCATCCACCGCCCCCACCGCCGCCGCCATGGAGACGGCAGGAGCGAAGCAGCACCACCGAGTTGAGGGTGAGGCTGAAGACGAAGGTCAGCGAGTAGCAGACGGGCAGGAAGACGTACTTGTAGGATTCATCGATGCTGCAGGACGAAGAGGTCGGCGAGGAGGCGTTGGGATGGTCGCTCACCGCCGCCGCCACAAGGCCGATGTGTGGAGAGACGCTGGAGGCCTGAGTCAGTCTCATGATGGACCTCTGAGGGCTATTTGTGGTTGAGGTGGATCGATTCAGGTTCCTCTGGCGTCATCTCAGCTCCTGATGGTTCCTTCATCTATCTATCTATCTATCTATCTATCTATCTATCTATCTATCTATCTATCTATCTATCTATCTATCTATCTATCTATCTATCTATCTATTTGTGTCTGTATCCGCTGATCCATATCTCTGTGACAAAGACAGGAAACAAAGCACAGCGTCATTAGTCCGTTCAGAATGTACCGTTCTGCTGATGAAGACCACGTCTCGCTCAATTAGCCCGTCAGTCATTAACGAGGTTTTCCGGAAACCTCTGAGCGCTGGCGTGGAGTTCGGCCGGTCGCTGGTCTGTTGGGGTTTAAGTTCAAGCCTGTGTTCGGAGCAGCAGAGTCACGGTTTCCAAACTCCGACACCGTTGACGTCGCTGTAAGAGGAGAGACGGACAGGTTCACTTCATCTTTACATTCATGTGCAGTGAATTCACGGTGGACTCAGTTTTAGGCAGCACGGCTCTGTGGATGGAGTCGCTCCACTGCCACCATGAGGTTGACATTTTAGTCTATTTAAAGGCATTTTCTTGGTCATTAACTCTCTGAAGCAGTTTGTCCTTTCTGCTCCTGTCGAATCTTTCGTCACTCGGGTCAATGTAAAGTCCTGCAACGCTGTGGAAACAGAACAACTGCAAAGAAGGAGAGACAACTCAGATTTTGATTATTTACTATTTATAAAAATGCCCAACATGCTTCCAGGTGTTCACAGCTGTTACCAACGCTGGAGGACAAATCCGAGCTCCACATGTTTACAGCCTCAACCAACGTTTCCTCTCCTCTGACCATCAGCTCTTGAAACAAACTTCACCACAAGTCTCGTCTTTAGAACAGTTTTGGAGTCAACCTCGACAAGTTCTTGTCACTTTAGACACATTTCAAATCATTTGGCGACTTTCTGGACAAGTTTCAAGTCAACAACATTAACATGTAGTTTGCATAGATGTTCCTCCATCAGCTGTAGAAAGATGTTCCACCATGTTGGATGGATCTTAAACAACTGGCTCCTCTGTTCACTGGTTCTGATCCATGTTGCATTTATTTATTGACCCAGAATGTTTGTCTAAAATTATCCATAATGCTTTGAAACGTGTCCAAAGGAACAGAACATTTTCAGAGTGACTCAAAGTTTCTCCAAAATAGTTTGAAATTTGTCCACCGTGATCTAAATTTGTCTAAATTGTGTTAAATCTCGACCACATTGACTCAAGAATTGTCCAAAATGACTCAAAATTAGTATAAAATAGCAACATTTGAGTCATTTTTGACATTTTTGAGTCCAGTTTTGATTCCCGTTGGTGTCCACAGGTTTCCAACACTGGACAAAATATTGTCTCCTCGTCCTGCAGATGTTCCACCACCAGCTATAGAAAGATGTTCCTCCATCAGATGAATGTATCTCCACCAACTGGCTCCTCTGGTCTCTGGTTCTGATCCGTGCTGCATGTATTCATTGATCCATGCTGGTTGGATTTTCCTCTCAGGCTCTCTGAGGAAACACTGGCTGCAGTTCAACCTGGAAACTTTTTTTTTTTTTTCACTGTTGGTCACAGCTGAGTCCAAATAAAAGTGTTTTATTTGATTGTTTTAATATGATTAGTTTATGTAACATTAAGCTTAGATTTGGTTCATTTTGCCGACTGAACGACACGTCATGGATGATTAGTCCAAGAACCGCTGAAAAGCAGAAAATCTGTCGATGTTTTCTGTTTTTACAGATTTTTTTTTGGCAAATTTTCTTTTTTTAAAAAAAGCTGACGTGTTCAAAGCTGCCGGCAAATCCTAGAGTGTTTGACTAGAATGATGATGGAAACAGAGGATGTAAAACATTCATTCAGAGGCTGAAACTGGAGACTTCTGCTTTTAAACTGACCTCAATGAATCCTGCGGTTGTCAAAATTACATTTATTCTGATCTGAGGATGGACTACGAGCTAATTTGCGCTCTCGTCTCAGCTGGATTGAACCCTGATCGGTTGACCTCAGTCGTGGTCTAATCACGTCCATTTGCAGCTTCTATTATTTGACATTCAGAGCGTGTTCGGATCAGAAGTCCTACCTTCAGCTCGTCTCGTCCGGCAAAGTCGCGGTTCAGAAGTGTCTGTTTCGGGCCGAAGGGTCTCTCGGGGTTCCTCCTCCGACCTTCAGCTTCTCTGTAAATAATTGATCAGCGTTCATTCAGTCAGAACTGCAGGAATGAAACCCAATACAGGACTGCAGAGGAGGAGGAGGCGCTCACAGTGCAGCTCGCTCTGTCTTTATCTCAGGCTTCAAATCATCTCCAACCATGTCTAACGCATGTACGGCTCAGCGTTTGTTGAATCAGTCGTCACACTTTGATTCATTTGTGTTGCTGTTGGTTAAATGTGTTAAACCTGCTGCCGTTGTGTTGGCTTTTCCTGCACGACGCCTGATAGGAAACAAACTGAGCCACTCCAGTCGTGCACTGTTCCACATCTAAACCACAAAATCATAGAAACACGCAACTCGTTTTCCACAAAGAACCAAAAAGTACGAGTTCCTGAGCCCTCGAGAAGATTTGACATTCAAAATAAGTGAAGCTAAATGTACATTTGCATGTTTAAAGTTGGAATTAATGACATCATTTAGCCTTTTGAACTAATATTCTGACTTAAAAATGCTTCTAGCAGTCGTTTCACAGATTTAAATCGACGCTCGGCTGGTTTTGTAAAAGCAGATATCGAGTCTCTCACCTTTTCTTCCAGCGTCTCGTTTTCTGCTCGTCGCTGCGACTTGTTTTCTGAAGCTTTCATTAGAAACCAAGTGAAAATATCAGCTCCTCCTCTTCTCCCTGCCCTCCATCATCATCATCATCATCATCATCATCATCATCATCATCGGCTCTGGTTCATGAATGCTGAGTTTTCCTCTCTGACAGTCGACACACAGCAAAGAGCAGCTGCTTCTGAACACGCTGAACATCGCACCAGAATCAGTGGCAGCTTCTCAGAATCTGTTGCATTAAAAAAGCACGTTAGCTGCTGTCGTTGATTTACAACCAGCAGGGGGCGACTTCACTGGCTGCAAAAAGACGTCAGACTGAGCAGAAGTTATTCTGAAGTGTCGCATGAGAAGACGTTAACGGAAATGATTCAACACAAGAGTTTTTCAAGAGCTTCAACGGTCAAATTATGTTTTCTTTTCTTTTACAGTTTAAACTCGGACCACAAAGTCGTCTTTTCTCGGTGGCATCTTTCGTTCTTTTGCCGTCGTATGGATAAAGTTTTCATCTCTGCAGGTGGAACTTCCACCAAAACAAGTTTCCCCCGTCGCAGAGTCACTGCATCTTGTTTTAAAAACCAACTCGTTTTCACGTACGGTAATTACGTTGTCCATCCAAATTCAGAAAGGGTTGAAAACATGGTGCTGAAAACAAATGTTTGTCATGAGGAGAGACTTGACAAGGGTCGTCCATCGTCCACACGTTTACCAGTCGCCACCAACAGCTGTAAGTGAAGCCATCGGAGGTGCTTTGGTTTCTACGAACTTTCTATAACTGGAACCCAAACTGTTCTCCAGATATCTTGTGCTCTGTTCTAATAATCACATGAACATGGTGCTACAGTCGGATCTGTCAGCAGCAGCTGTATCCTGTAAATACTACTGTGGTCCTGGACTAGCATGAACATGACGTTAGCTCATCGGCCTTCGTCACATGAACTGGTTTTTTGTCCCGTCCAGGATGACTGACTGGTTTCAGGACACACAAACAAGTCGGAGCTTTTTTACTCCAGTAGAAGAACGACAGTTAGGTGCACCGGAGAATGGTCAAAGTGAGACAGCTATATAGCAAATGTTAGCATGCTAACACAGAAAGCTACCTGTTGTTGTATGAACTGAACGTTTGTTATCGGTCAACGGAAACACGAGTCCGTCTCGCGCCAAACGATTGTAATTATTTTAAAGAAACACAAACAAGTCAGAGCTTTGTTACCTCCATAGAAGGACAACAGTGAGGTGCAGCAGACCACCTTGGAATGGTCTGACCAAACGAAATGTTAGCACGAATGTTAGCATGCTAACACGCCACACTACACCAAAAACATGCACAGACCAGCAGGTTTTTAGCGTCTCCACAAATATTTCTGAAATAATGTTTGCATTTAAATTTGTATCCTGTAAAAACTGCTGTGATTTTCTGTGTTTGACACGAGGAGCACTGCGATGTGGTCCTGTGGTAGCATGAACATAGCGTTAGCTTATCAGACATGGAAACTGGAGTTGGTCATGAGACCCGCCAAAAGCGATTGCGACCGGTTTAAAGAAACAATAAGAAGCTTTTCCCTGTAACAGAATTAAGATGCAGCCGATTCTACACCAGAGAACGGTCTGACAAAGAGCATAGCTACTGAATGCTAGCATGCTAACATGCAAGAAACCACCACAGACCACCAGGTTTATGCGTCTCAACATATATTTCAGAATTAATGTTTGCATTTACATTTGTAATTCATTTTATTTACATTTTAAAATACATCTCTAAATACTCTTAAAGTCACAGTGAAATGAAAAACTTTACTCTCGTTCTTCAACACTTTTGCAAACATCCCTCAGTGTTGAAACGACATTTCAGTGTGACTTTAAATATTTATATGCGAATAAAAAAAGTAACAGACACGTTTCCCTTTTTAGTTTTTCCTCGTAAATAACATTCAGCTTCTCATCACAGGCACTAGAGGACATCTAACACAGCCTGAAAAACATTCAGAGACTTAATAAAACTATGTTTGGGGGGAGCTCAACGAAGGAAAACCTAGTTTAGTGGATTATTCCCTTTGTATCTGAAGTAAACAACGACCACGTCTGACTGTACCTGAAGTTAAAGAGGAACATTCAAACCACATCTCACAGCTCCATGTGTTGCTTTAATGCACTTCTGTAACATTATAAATTAAAATAAGGTTGTGAATGACTTTTAAACTCATAAAACAGACAAAGAAAACGTCACTTTTTCTTTTTCTTGTTTAGGCAACTTTACAAAGTAAGTTTTGGTGAGATTCCAACATTAAAATAACTTCTGTTGAGTCGTCCTGCTGTTTGACTGTAATGTTCCCTTTGTCACGACAACAAGCAAAAATAATAACGTAATAAACACAATAAGTCTTAAATTAGATAAGTTAGAGTCCCACTTTGTCTACAGTCCAAACAGCTGAATCCATTTATTATTATTTTTTAACTCTTGATAGCTTTTCGTGAGATTTGTCTCAAAACACGGGTTTGTAGAAAAAAAAGTTTTGGAATAAAAGGGGAAAAAAAAGTCGGATTTTGATCCCAAAAACCTTCAAATCTGAACGTCCTGCGACAAACTGCTGCTTTTCCTACCTGAGAAAAATCCTCTTCTCTGTCAGTAAACTCTGATTTCACCTCAACGTTTGTGTCCGACGATAAAATAAAACCGCTAAACGTAAAACCCGCCTTCCTCCACCTGATTCATCCTCGACCGTGAATTCGCCTCAAAGCTCCTGAAAACGTTTCTGCCGTCACGTGAGGCGTTTATGACCAAGTCTGGAGCGAAACGAAAACCTCTGACGGCATTCAACGCCCGAAAATCAGAGTATCAGTTAACAGTCAGCCGCTCGTTGATTAGTTGTCGACTGTTTGGTGATTCTCCGTTACGCAGAGAAGCTCACATTCTTTTTGTTTTTTACAGAATTGTTCGTTAAAAAGGTTTATTTTTGGCAAGTTTCGAAATGAGAGACGTAGAATAAATTAACGTTGATGAAATGTCTCGATTTTAAGCTCACGGAGTCGCACACGATGTGTTCAAGGGCCGTTGGAAGTCTTCAGATGTGTTTTTGGTTTCTACAGTTTCTGGCTGATAAATGGTCATTTTGGTGATAATCAGTGGATTAAAATGCGTTTAGAACTATTAGATTGAGTTTGTTCATCGGTCGAAAACTTTTATCATCATTAGTTTTAGATCCGCAGTGATTAACCGACGAGTTGTTGAAAAAAAGTCTGAATTCTGGGATCGCAGCTTCTTAAATGTGAACATTTTCTGACTTCTTTCCTCCTTTCTGGCGGTAAACTGAATGTTTTGCGTTGTGGACAAACCGACGCTCGTTTTTCACCATTTTTTGACCAGATAATAAATTCACCGACGTCTAAACCGAAACGTCTTCATCGTGGAAATCATTCAACCTGCTCGAACGCGGTGTTCAGGAGCTTTACCATCGATCGGACGATTGTCTCTTTAGAGCAGATTGTTTGAGTTTGAACGCGACGAAGCAGCAGAAACCGGCTGAAATCGGATTTTCTCTAAACGTGATGAACATTCGAGCGACTTTCAAATTAAACGATAATCTGAACAGGAAACAAGCTGCCTCCTGAAAACCAGCTTATTTCTGACTGAACGTTAATTTTCCTGCCACGAGGACATTTTGACATTTCCTGCTTACGTTTATATTTTTATTTTAATATCATGTTTGTCTTTAATTTCTCAGACTCTGAATGGAAGCGACGTTCCTTCATCGATCAACAAACCGACTGAACAGCTTCGAAACATTCTGCAGATGCATATTCATTAAAACAAGCCTTCCAGTCCAATCTCAATCGTTCGCTGACTTGCTGTGTTCAGTTTGAGGATTTGATGTTTTCTTTGAGTTGTTTTGGGTTTATCCTGTCGAGCTTTTCTTATCTTCCACCATTTGATCTCTTTTACAGCTGAATCGTGACCTCGTCTCCGCTGTGGCTCGATAGAAGCTTTAAAACTGAACGCTGAAGTCGTTTCTTCTCGTACGTCTGCACCTGTCCTTTGTTTTACTTTAAAAAACCTTAGAAATGTGTTTTCCTCTCGCCGACATTAACAAAAAACTAATGTCACAGATTTTAGTTTCTTTCTAACTCGAGGTTTTCAGAAGACGAGCTTGAAGCCGGAGATGATAAACGTATGAAACAGTGATGAATGTATGAATGTGATTGAATGAAACCCAAACGGACCAAACATCTCCTTCCCGTCTGAAGAGTCGGTAAACGTCTGTTCAAACTCTTCTTCCTGCCGATCGTGAAGCTGAAAACAGATCCTGAGTCGGACTGAGGATCTGACAGCTGGTGGTTTGTTCTTCCAGCTGGTCGATGAACCTCTCCAGGTATCGACTCCAGTTCTTCTGGTTCCTGTAGACCTGAACATCCAGCTGCGTCTCCGTTGGTTGGATCAGTCCGATGTTTCTGCAGCGTCTCACATTCAGTTCAGAGTTTATCTCATTTGTTTTTTGGGACCCAAAACGACGTCTGCTGGTGTCAGTGGTCCCGGTTCTGTCTCCAAACCGGACATTAAAACCAACAGAGACACTGAAGGGGTTTCAGAGAATTACGACCTTCAGAAGTTCAGTCCAGGTTCTCTGGTCAGTTTCCATTTCTAGGATCTGTATTTGAGCTCCAGGTTCTGGTTCCTACCAATGATCCACATCAACATTTAGTCTAAATGTCAACAAACTAGAACCTTGTGTTGCCAGACATCAGGTTCTACTGATGTTAGAGCCTCAACAGGTGGTGAAACGTGACCAGAGACTGGGTTCTAGTAGAACCATGGATCCATCCATAGACAGACACTGACAGGAACTTTCTGAGGATCCAGTTGCACCTTTTGAGTCACTTTAAACAAATCTTGAGTGATTCTTGGCACATTTTGAGCAGTTTGAAACAATTTCAAGTCATTCTTGATTCATTTCTGGACTGATTTTAGGTGATTTTGTAGAATTTTGAGCCATTTTAGACACATTTCAAATCATTTCAGACGATAACGGGACATTTTTGGCCAATTTTAAACTGGTTTCAAGTCAAAATATGTAAAAACTGGAACCTTGTCTGGTCCAAATTCACCACATCAGGTTCTACTGATGTTAGAGCTTCAACAGGTGGTGGAATGTGACCAGAGACTGGGTTCTAGTAGAACCACGGATCCATCCACATATTTACACTTACAGGAACGTTCTACGGCCCAGCTCCATCCTCATGTGTTACATTTTTTTACACTTGCTTCCTTTTTTTAGGGCCACTAATTAAAAACGTGTCCATTCCATCATTCTGGTGGATTTCCAGAGAAGAGTTTGTTTTCTTTTCCTGACAGCGAAGATCGAGCCAGAATGGTTTCACAGAACTTGGTTTTGGGTCCCAGAGAACAAATGAAATCAACTCTGAACAGACGCTGCTGGATTCTGTCGGATCAGACGGACTGAGCCAGTTTTCATTGTTAGCGGTAAACGAGTCCCGATCTGGTCCCGGTGGACGAAGCTCTCGGCCCGGCGTTAGGTCAGGTCCTGGACGTCCAGCAGCATGGCGTCCTGCTTCGTCCTCAGCTGGTCTCGAACCAGCAGGTGGGTCACCAGCTCAGAGCTCAGAGCTGCAGGAACAACACCCATAAACGTTAGCTTAGCCACGAAAAGTCAAAATGTCCAACAAAAATACAAAACTGAACGATTTAAAAGCAGAGCTGCAAAGTGAAGCTTTTAAACATAAAGTGTGTTTCAACATGAAGTCCTGCAGCTCTGAGGAACCAGAACATGAAGGAGGAGAACTCAGAGACGATTCTATCAGCACGACTCAGAACCATGGAGACCAGAAATAAAGGAAAAAGGTGAATTGCCTCAAGTTTTATACAAAAAACCAAAAAGGAATGACATGGAATCCATCGTTTGTGTCCACGAGTTTAAACAAGACAGGAAACAACTGGAGGCTCCACAGACTCCAGATGTTTTGTGTTTACAGCCAGACTGTCCAGAAAAAGCCTCGTCGCCCATTTCATGCAGCTCCTGTCTCAGTTTGGTCAATTTCAGGCAAGTATTGAGTATTTTTAGAGACATTTTTGTCATTTTGAACAAAATTTAAGTTATTTTTGGCCAATTTTCAACTCGCTTTGGACACATTTTTACCATTTTGAATACGTTTCTTGGCCAGTTGGACCTGTATGTTGGGGGGATGGTGCTGCAGGAGCATCAACACGCTGCAGCTCTGACAAAAACACTCTAAACTCTCTGACTTCAGCTTCCTAAAGGGGAATATTTCAGTTTTTTTTCCTCTGCGGGAGTAAACGGTGACTCTTTGGGTTGTGGACAAAACAAGACGCTGGAGGACGACTTCTTGGCTTCAGAGATCCACATTTACAAGCAATCGATTCACCAAGGAAGTAACTGGCAGCAGATTCAGACCTTGTTGCACTCAACAGGACGGCGGCGCCCCCTACAGGTTCCCAGTACAGACTGAAGACACCTGATTTAGAGATGGAGTCTCTGATTGCAGCCTCTTAAATGTGAATATTTCTGGTTTCTTTCTAATAATGTGGCTCAAGCAGT